GACAGTGAATCTGGTAGGCAGACACAAACACCCAACCTGAACATTTCAACCTTATACCTGGGATATCCAAAATCAGCCTTGAGGAAAACAACAGCGCTCTGCCACCAAAGCCCACTCAGACATATACCATTCAAACCCTAACTCCTTGCAGACCAGGTTGCTCACACCCCAAAGCAGTTTCATTTCCACGAAAGGGAAAAGTATGTGGACAGGACATTAGCAAAAAATTTCTTCTCTGTAAGAGTGATCAACTGCTGGAACAGACTCCCCAGAGAGGTGGTGGAGTCACCATCCTGGAGATGTTCAAGAAAAATTTAGATGTTGTACTGAGGGACATGGCTTAGTGGGAAATATTGGTAATCAGCTGGACTGAATGATCTTGGAGATCTTTTCCAACCTTGGTGATTGATTCTATGAGTCTGACAGCAAGGTAGCGATCCTTGTACTGAAAATTCCTCGGTAAAAACACGAAGATCTAAAATTTTGGGGAGCCTTCCTGGTTTTATGTGCAATACTCTAATTTGTAAGTGACAGAGTTGAAGAAAATTTGCAGCAATCATTCCTGTAACTGCAAACTAGTGTCTGCAGCGTGTATACAAATCAGGTAGAAAGACCCTTTCAATACCTAAAGCTTTGGGTCACAGACTTGTTTCAAGGTCTTGCAGTCTAGTCAGGTTTGAACAGGAAGAGCCCTTAAGCTGGTAGCCTGGGAAATGATCCAGCACAGATAATTCACCTATTATTGCCCTAAGAATTGATTAGCATAAAGTAACAAACAGTGGGGCTATCACACATACTGGCTGTCTGCACGCTGCACCTATTCCTCCACTCTTTTTCCTCCAGCAATCAGCAGAATAATTATTCTCACAGAGCATTAGCTACAGCTTAAGCTGCAGGCGTAATTTACGCTTCCTTGGAGACCCAATTAAAGGTTATAGGAAACAGTTCTGAGGACAACCTCCTGCTCTACAGCTTCATATTTATGTAACTAGTCCCCCACTGTTTTACTTGCCCTTTGGATCAGGCATCTGAACAACCACGCGAGAAGGGATAAGTAATCTTAAACACATTTTAGGATGACTAAATTAATATATTTTCAAGAGTGCCCTCTTTGGAATAACCTTTTTACTTCCTTTTTTCAAAATGAATGATATATTAGTGTTAAGTGGATCTAATTAAAGCAAATTGGTGTTCTCCTTCAGAACTAATGGGAACGATGCATTGCATCACTTGCCTTATATGATTGCACCAAAACAATGTTATTTGAGGCATCAAGTCAGAAAAGCTGTTACACCAAGAAGACCAAGGTCTTACACACAGACACAGTATAAGATAAGTCACTGTGTTTGTGCCTAGAGTCCTCTCTTATGCCAGCATACCATACTCCTTATGCCAAAACATCATTGCAAAAGTAAGTCTAGAGCCAAAAGAGTCAGAGCTCAACCTCCTTAAAACAACCCCTTGAAGATGCCTCTGCAGGTAGTAAATGCAAGTATGGCCAATGCTAGGCCAAGTGTTGGATGCCCTTCAACGAAAGGCCTTCGCAATGGGGAATCTGCAGTTATACAGAACATCTCTCTTATTAGATAAGCAGAACCATGTATTTTCAGCCAGCAGTAATAGAACATAGCAAGCTGACACACGTCAACAGCTGAAGTCACATTTCTTCCCTTTTATATTCTGTTTTTGCTTATTTTATCTGTTCAGTATGCAACCCCACCACATTAGTTGGCATTTAAGCAAGGATCTTGGACCCTTGGCTGCTCACAGAAAGCTAGTGACAAACAAGTGCAGTTTTAGACTTCCGTGCAGAACGTCAAAAGAAATTATGCAGCCATTTTCCATTATTTTTGTTATCTAAGACAGAGAAACACATAAGGCCAAAGCACGTTTCTAAAATAGCATTTCAGAAAAAAAAAACAACACAGAAAGTTAGCACAAGAACATTGCTCTCTCGGGCCCAAATTATGATTGAAACAGTGGTTGACTGTGATTATTATTATCTTTTTTTTTTTTTTTTGAAGAGGACAAATAACAGCCTTCAAGATGAGGTGGTCTCTGAAAAACGCAAACTTTTCACAACACAGCTCTACAGCTCCTCTTCCTGCTCCTTCCAGAGTTCTGACATTGGTGACATTAAAAGTATGAAAATGACTAACGTCATCAAATATCTGAAGTAAAGAAAGATTTGCAGATAAAGGGGGATTTATTTTGATGCCCACCCCCAATTCAGACAAATTTGGTTATGAGTGCTTTCAGAACTCAGTGAAAAGGAGACAGGAACAAAAGGGCAGCACACGAGAACCAACCGTATGTTTTCACATTGCACTGTGAGTGGCAGTTCACACAGCTAGAATTTATGCAGAAGCCTGGGAAAATCACCAGAGAGAAAATTCCTTGGTCTGCCGAGATGGAAGATTCTCCTTCTGATTCCTGGTCCCTCTATATCTATTTATATCTTATACGAGTTCCATCTCATGCACTACATGGACTGGAAGCACAAATCATGTGGATTCTGTAGAGGAGAATAAAATATAGAATCTTTTTTCACATGAAGGGAAAAGGAAAAAAAAAGGGAAGTGACACTGGTACGCAGAAAGGTAAGTGAAAACTGAACGTCTTAAAGTCCTTTTCATAACAGAAGGACCTGTTGGAGCCATGCTTGCAAAGTTCATTTTCTTGTTTCACTCAAATCGCTATCACACCTCTCTGTTCTCACAGCTTTGAATAAATTCTAATACATATACAGCTTTTCCATAAGCGCTCAGTCTATCTCAGAGCTTTCATTCTTGAGTTGACTTCAACACAAAGGGGGTAGGTACATAAGTAAGTATCCAACATCAACCACCATCAAAGCTCAGGACCATTTACCTACATCTCTTCAGCATCTTAATAAAACAACAATCAACTAGAAAACATTTTTCATTCGTACAGTACTGCTTATAATATGACATATTGAAAGCCACAGATTAAAGTATGCATTTGCACCAAATCTCAGACTGACTTCACTTGAAAATATATTAACTTTTTTCCATTCTTATATTCTGCTTAAAGAATTTACAGTAAGTAAGAAATACATTTTTCCCACAGACAACATTTCACACTTAGCTGAAGTGGTTTCGCTCTCGTTATATTTACAGACAATCATCAGCACATATACATGCTCATAATGCAAACTGGATTGGTATTGTACTACCTATAAATCAGCCATGAGTCTTATCATATAAGATAAGCAGTATTTGGTGTCATGCCATCAGAGGATTTCACAAATGTATCCTGGCTGACTCACAGTGGTTGCAGTTTCAGTCTCTGATTGAAGAGACGCAGATGTTTTGGTTTTGCTGCTCTTGTTGCTTATATATGAATGGAGTCTTTGCACCTGGTGTCTCACTTCGTTTACAGTGGGTCGTCATTGTGCATTATTTCTTTCCTCTACCATTTCTCTGATCTTGCCCTTTCCCATAGAAGTTTCCCAAGTACAAATGAATGAGGAAGTAAACAGAGAAACTTCAAGAATATAGATGTGGACCAATCTTTCTTCCAATCTACTGTAGACAAATATTTCCCAATTTGCTCTCATATAAACCTCTAATATTGTAATGATTCATGAGAACCCCCAGCTGCACTTCATCCAAGATCATCAAGAAGCATAAATTCCTTTTTCCACTTTGCAAACAAAAACAAGGAGAGAGGAACGACGTAGATGTCAAATGAGCACACACACAAAAAAAGACAAAGTAGAGGTTGTTTTCAACATCACTATTACAAAAGAGGCCCCTCATACTTAAAGCCTGGTGTGACTGGGCATTTAACATTTCAAGGAGGCATTTCCTTGAAATGACTGCTTTGCTGTCTGCTTCCCCTACCTTTATGTCTTTTCCTGTCTGCATCCTCCCACGAACAGCCTTCTCCTTTGCCATTCAGTTATTCCCTCCTCCTTTATCTTCTGTGTTCTGCCAGCTTTTCAACAGTCATCTCCAAACTCTATTTCCACTTGTTCTTGAACCTGAACTTATCTAGTTTATGTTATCACATCAATTCAGATTATCATCACCTCAGGGAAAGTATCTTCTATTCCTGCATGTTTCTAAAATCTGCTTTGGAAGAGATAATAAACGATGCGATTTATTCATCTAGAGTTCAAAGCCTGTGGAAATACAAGCAATCTATGTGCCTTTGCTCTCCTTATAAATTAGTAATGAGTTTGGAATGCTTCCCCGTGGTAATTAAGCCTCATTCAGTTAAAATGACTGCATTCTGAGATGCAATTCCCTTTTCATTCCAAAAAAAGTTACATATTTTCTATTAACAGCATCACTAGAAACCATACAAATAATTTCAGCACTTCAAAAGCTACAAAGCCCAAAATGCTTCTTGTCCTAGCCAGCTTCAGGCAATTTGTTAGGACCAGTTACAGCGTATCCTTCAGTCATAAGTGCTCAGATAGAGTGAAACCACACTTAAAATGAGAACAAAAGGAAAGCACAGAGTTTCAGTGCACCACAATACCCATATTCTAATAACAATTGCTGTGCCCTCCATTAAAAGCAAAGAGCCGGATGTCAGTGTTTGCTGTGGTGTTTGCAGGGGCAGGAGAGAGAGAAGAGGAGGTATATTAACTCTAACCACAACCACTACCACAGAGAAGTCCACCATGTCCAAAAGATTAAATATTAACCTAGCCTAGCAACTACTTTCTTGCATTTCATTGTATGTTTTAAGCAAAGCAAATATTCATAAAGTCACACTTGGTAAATGAAACCAAGACCCTTCTGGAAAACATAAATGTTGTCTGTCTGCATCATTTCTATTCAAAGCACTGCTGCTGGATGGAGAACGTGCTAAAGGAAGTTTTCCTGAGTCCACTCCTTGCTCATACACACCTTGAGTCTCCTAGATTATTCTTTGAAGGAGCTACATAGAAGTGTTTCTCAAGCCATATATGTTTATAATACTGTATTACAAAGCACCTAAATCAATCAGAGGTTCATAAACATTACCTTCATACACAACTTCGTGCACAGTGGAAATGTATCCTTGAATCAGCTCTGGAAGGCAGTCCTTACAGAAGGAATGAAGGCATGGCAGCATCCTGGGGTCTCTCCTGCACAGATCCCATTTGCACACCAAGCATTTCCTCAGCACATCCAGGGGCTCCACTGCCGCTGGCTGAGGTTTGACATCAAAAACACGAAGAGTCACAAAATGGCTCATGTCAGCCTCTCTGCTTCACACAACACTTGATCACTCAAGTGCAAAATAGAAGGCAGCAGTGGGATGCACGTTCTCAGAAACAACACTTACTCGGTCCCTTTGAAGAAAGAGGAAGTTCCTTGCAGCTAAAAAAATCACATAACCTGCTTTAAAAAAAAAAAAAAAAAAAGAATACCTTTGCAGATTGTTGTGCAGGAAAGTGTGGTTTAAGGTTTACAAACCATGATACCACTATCTCTCTATAGTGCTTGCAGCTTTTGTAAAAAACTGAAGTAATCTGTTCTATTGATCTACTTACAAGGCTGATATCAGGCTGAACTGTCACATGCTGTACATTTCCTGCTAGAAGCAATGAAACCATGCAATAAAAATGATGATATTATCTGATTGCTTTTATAATTTCAGCACAGTATTTCAGAGCTTACAGGTAAAGTAAATAAAGACAATCATAACTGATCGTACCTCCATCATTTTGGCAATGCCCATTAGAAAGCTGCCTTGATAAATGCAATGCAACTTCTGCCGAGCTTCTTAGAAATTTAATAAAGTGCACTTTGCAGTGATCAAATTTCACCTGTCAAGGTGAACACACATCAGGTTATAGACCAAATTGGAACTTTCTGCAAGCAGGACAGCATTTCCTTTGCCAACCTAAGCTCCTCAAAACGAATTGAGTACTTTGCAGATCATGTACCATCCTTGATTCTCAAATGTACAGAGATGTCCAGATACAGCCTGCAATGAGAAACTTTTGTAAGTTGCAGCAGAGAAGGAAAAGCAAGCAGTCTCATCTCCCCCTCTGGCTGACTGAACCCCCTGGTGGGGCCAGAGCTCCACATGACTGCCCACTGCCTTGGCATGGTGGCCTTGCTGCCAGCAGTACAAACTTGCAGTGTCTCAAGATCTCCCCAATACAGAAGAGCAGCAGCTCTAATCTCAGGGATATACATCCCCTTGGGGGGGTCTGGCTCAAGCAAGATTCTAATGCATATGGTTAGCAGAAAGACCACCTTCTTCAATGAAACAAAATTATAGATGTCTCAGAAGTCCACAAATAGTTTTGTTTGTTTATCTTTTTAAAAGTATTGCATCCTGAAATCTTCATTATTCAAACTACTTTAGAAAAAGTGGACCATATGTCCGTATCACATTTCATAACCAAGACCCACTACTAAGAAAAGGTAGATATCCATCAACTTTACTGAATGCACCTCAACAAATTCAAACCTACCACTAAAACACAGTTGTAGCATCAAAACAACTGGTCTGTATAGAAATGAATTGTGGTGACTGTACCTGTAGTTTAAGTAATAGATGGTACAAAAGCACTTATTACAGAATAGAATCACAGAATCATTTGATTTGGGAGTGACCCTTAAAGGCCATCCAGTCCAATTCCCCAGCAATGAACAGGATACCTGCAGCTCAATCAGGTGCCCAGAGCCTCTCCAGCCTTACCTTGAGTGTCTCCAGCTATGGGGCATCCATCACATGCTGGCCATTACATGAGCTCATCTTTCAGAGGCAAATGCCATTAGGGCAGCACAGCTTTTTGGCTGCACCTTCATTTCTTGTAATACCATTGCTAAGATGACAAACCAGATCCTACAAAAACATGCAACGTCTGCAATAGGAAGTTGAGGTCTTAGACTACTGCATTGTTTAGGCAAAGAAACTGCAGCTCAGGACCAAAGCACAAACGCAGAGAATCACTGCAAACACAAAACCAAATATTGGGATAATGCTGTACCATCATGAAGACCAGACAAGCAGCTGAATGAGTAGAAGCAGGTTCCATACTCCTTTAGTTTATGCTTTTTCCTAACAGGAGAAACTAAGTAGAAGCATTTTGGTAGGATGGAGGATGATGGTGAGAAAAAACAGTAAGTTTCCTGCTGAGACAGGAATGCAAACCAGCAGCCAGGCAGCTACATTACCAGTGGCCCATGGGAGACATCAGGTCCAGCAGCAGAGGCTGCATATGAAGTATCTGCATGTGAGGGAGCTGGGGGAAGCAGCTGGCAGCAATCTCACCTGGAGGGTGAAGAGCCTGGCTTTTGGGCCATCAGCCCAAATGAAGGGAAACAAGTTTCCTCCTTGCCAATCACCACACAAGGACTCAAATTCCAAAGATTTGATGACCTTCCACAGAAATACAAGGCAAAAATTTAGTCACATTCATGAAAACAGGTGGTAAAAGCAGTGAAGCTGCCGATTTACTCAGGCCTTGTTTTTCAAACATTCCCCAGATGTTCTGGACTATTTGGGAGATACATCTGAGGAATAGGGTCTAGGGTAATGGGGCTGCAAAACCAGCCTAAGCCTCAACATGAAGGACCAAGCATGATAGCTGTGCACCCTGAGGCACCGTGGCCCCAAGCTTGTGCCCAACAGCTGCCTAACCCACATGGACAAGACTTAATGTGAACAGTATAGGACAAGTCAAAAAAGTAGTCAGAAAATTCTATAAATCATCACATTTTACACATTGGTCTTTATTCAAAAAGTTTGAATAAAACTAAGGCCTTTATGCCACAAGCACACAGGCACCGCCAACTTCTTTGATCTTCTCCTCTGCTCTTCTACTGAAGAACTTTGCTTTCACAATTACAGGCTGCTTGGGCAGCTTGCCCTTGCCCAGGACTTTGTAGTAACCCTAGAAAGATTAAAGAAAAACAACGAAAAAACAACATTTAGTGTTTGCAACCAACTTCCAGGCTCTTCCATTCTGTCCTTTAGCACACATCCATAAAAACCAGAACTATGATCATCACTGTGACCTCATAAGATTGGTAAAAGTTGGTAAAATACATCCTGCATGAGCTAGTGCAGTTGCATTTGTTCAGAGAAGTAGAAACCATGAGGTGATTACTCTCTTTCAGTAATTTAGAACACGTGAAGCTGTTACCTTCCCAAAACCACATACAGAAAACATTGCTGAGTCCTGTAAAGTTGCCAACCACTTCCCAGTTTTCCAAAGGACAGAGCAGCTGGCTGCACTGCTACAGCTAACTACAGCCCAATTACATCTGGCCCACTCTCTTTACATCACCTCTGCTGGAATCCCCTCGTTTCACTCCTGCCCTCCACATCAGAAGGACAATGCTGGCACATGGCTGGTTAGTACTACAGCCTTTAAACTCACAGTTTCTTAGAAGTGGCACAAATGGCCAACAAAGAGGCTTCTGAGATGCTGAGAATACCTACCTGATAAGGTAGTTACTGTCACTGATTTGGTGGCTGACTGAGATATGAGGTATCGCAGCCAGTGAATGAGGATCAGAAGTTTATGTCTGAGAACGATAGCACACCAGAACAACAGAACATGTAAAGATGTGACTCTATTCTCAGTATTAGAAATGGCTTTCTGTAAGTGAGAACAGCACTATGATGTTTTCATATGTGCTTCTGGTGATTAAACAACTTTCTACCATCTTTCAAAAACAAGACAAATCACTCTTGCATTAACACCATCAGCACTAGTTTACCAACTGATATGCTAAGATACACAATTACGTTCCAGGTTTACAAATATTCAAGCACTGCAATTTATTTGCAGTTTACCATTTTAGTCTGAGACACTACACTAAGTAACACATTAAATGAGCAGGAACTGCAGTCCTGAATCTGAGCAGAAACTTACTGAGCGCACAACATCGATGACTGGGGCCAGTCCAGCCTGGTTTTTTGCATAATTGAGTCTTGTCTGTTCAGTTACAAGGGTCCATAGTTTATCCAAATTGACAGTGGGACAGAACTTTTGGTTTCTCTTCAAGTGATAGTGCCTCATGCCCACTTTTCCAAAGTAGCCAGGGTGACTGTGAAAGAAAACACGTTTCTTGTTAAATCACACTTCTAATTCATCCTGAATAGGTAGGATTTTAACACTGAAACAAGGATCTTAACTTGCTCAGAGTAATCAAAAAACTTCAAAAAATTATTTCACTTTTGCATTATACATGTAGTATTCAGCTGTAATAATCACTGCTATCCAAGCCAAAGGAAAAATTTTTTTGAGTGCCTCTTCTCCCTTGAACTCACAATTTAATCCTCCTCATGGTGAGTCTGGCCCAATCCTGTACTTCTCTGACAAAATCAGCTCAGTGAATCCAGGCAAGACTGCACAGCATGAGGAGCTTCAGAGCTCCTGTCACTAATCTGGTGACTGACTGAAACAGGAATGGTCACAGCCAGTGAATATAGATTAGTGGTTACTTTTCGAGTACTCTAGCACATCAGGACAACAGGCACTGTCCAGACGTGACTCTAGTCTCGGCATTAAGACAGTGACCCTCACTCCCTATGATAGGCAGCTAAAGAGCAGTTTTGATTTATGTAACATTTCCAATTCACGTAACACTTGGTGTGTGCATCTGTTAGCAGGCCAGCATTGTAACCCGCAAGTTTGGTCAAATTTACTGAGTTTTGCAAGATGACTAATTTAAGAAAGGCCTTTGAGTTTAGATAAAACGAGGACATGAATTGATGGCAGCTGTGAAGCCACACTTTGTGTTAGAAAAAAAAGATACAAGGGATTGTAAGTATGTTCAGTGGTTCACATATAAGATGTAGTTGTTTCTACTTCAGAAAGGTGCATTTTTTTGCTAGTACAAACTTAAAACATTAGCTTACTATTTATCAAAGTTAATCCTGTGATGGTGCATACCACCAGCATTACCACGGCCTCCAGGATGCTTCCTGTGTTTGCCTAAAAAGAAAAATTCAGCCTGTTACACCAAGAATATATAATGCTTTAACTTAGGGCTACAATTAAGTGCCAACTTCAGCTAATTACTCTGATATCTGCAGTCTTATTCTGTCCTCTGCATACACAAGAACAGGCACAGCATGTTTAACAAGCCGCCCAGCCCCGTTCTCAGGCTGTACGTCCCCAGCTCACCCCGCACAAGCCGGTACCCGGCGACGCTCTCCCGCAGGACAGCCCCGCTCCCTCGGTCCCTTCGCCCGCACGGCACCCCCACTCACCGATACGGCCGTGCCCGTGGCTGACGTGTCCCCTCAGCTTCCTAGTCTTCCGCAGTCTGGAAGGCTATGAGGGAGCGAGAAGGCGGTGAGCGGCACGGCCGCGATCGGAACGAGACGGCCCCACCCGCTCAGCCGCCATGGAGGCCCGGGCCCGCCGGCGGGAGGCCCGAGTCGCCTCACCTCGCCGCCCTCCCCATTTCATCCCATCCCGTCCCACACACCATCCCGAGCAGGCCACGGGCAAGGAGAAGCCCCGCTCACCCCACCCCCTTCCCGGCCACATCCCTCTGCGACGGGAGGCAAGAGGCAGCCCGGCTGCACCCACCATCTTGTCAGCGTGCGAGACGGCAGAGAAAGAGCGCCGCGCTCGCGAGACCTGGGGAAGGCACGGCCGGGAGCGGCCAGCTCTCGCGAGATTGTGCAGAGGCTCTCGCAGCCTGCGTGGAGTCTCGCGAGATCGGCAACGGCGGCGCTTGTTGGATCCCGCGCTGAAAGGGGCGGTAGTTCCGCTCTGTGTGGGGGTGCTTGGGGAGCCTTGCTCTTGAGGACGGGCATGGATAGCGCTTATGTTTCCGTTGAACTTGATGTTTTACACTGAACGTTTATTTGATGTACACTTTCAAAGCATTGATTCATAGAGTAACAGGTTCATGGAAAGGCCTGGGTTGAAAAGGACCACAATGATCATCTAGTTTCAACCCCCTGCTATGTGCAGGGCTGCCAACCAGCAGACCAGGCTGCCCAGAGCCACATCCAGCCTGGCCTTGAATGCCTCCAGGGATGGGGCATCCACAGCCTCCTTGGGCAACCCGTTCCAGTGCATCACCACCCTCTGAGTGAAAAACTTCCTCCTCATACCTAACCTAAACCTCCCTGTCCCAGTTTAAAACCCCCTTGTCCTATCACTATCACTGATATATATTTGAGTGTGAGGGAGGCAAGGAAAAAAAGGAAATGACTTCACCTTTCCAGTGAATAAACCCTCGCTTTTGCTCTATGAGGCTGATAGCAAACCAGAACCACTGTCAGGTTTGGAATTGCGCGAGCCTCAACGCTGTAAGGGAGAAATGATGCTGCAAATGAAGAAAAATACAGTGCGCTTTTCATCCTTCAATGCTCTAACTGCAGTGGACACCAAAGAGCAGCAGGCTGTATGGAAGGCAGCTGATAGCTCATCAGAAATTCAAGCAACTCCCCCCCTCCCCCCCCCCACCAGCTGTTCTTATTCTACTCTGGTCATTGAACCAAGGCAGTGCCAAAGCAATCTGAAAATACCACTGTGTAATCGTGGATTCATAGAATCACGGAAGTTGGAAGGAACACTAAGATCAACCCAGCCATCAGCCCACCCCACCATGCCCACTCACCACAGCCCTCCGTGTCATATCTCCATGTCTCTGGAGCACCTCCAGGAATGGCAACCCTGCCTCTAGGAAGTCTAGGAGTAGTATGATACATACAAAGACAGAAAGGGATTTGCTGCTGACACACTTGAAGAAAAAAAATGTTTAAAGAGATGCTTCTGCTAGGATAAAATTAACGCCTCGGTAATACAAAATGCCTTAGCTCTGGCTAAAAACATTAAGTAGAATTAAAAACACTTTATGTCACAAAATAGCAAACTTACTGAAAGACAAATTTGTAACAGCCATTTTGTATTTTAATTGCAAATTCACATTCACAAGTTCCTCTGGTTCGGTACCCACTTAGCATCAGAAGTACACAAAGACTATAAAACAGGTATATTTACACGGTTTATTGGGAACCATACATACATACATGAGGAAAGGACATACTGTACCTACACGTTGCAGCTTGCATGTCAAAAAACGGAGCTCTCCTCACAGTTAGCAGTCTTAGTGCAGAATGGATTACAAGGAGTTTACTGACCAGCGTTCAAACCAAGTGGAAGCTTTGTATTGTGAACCAAGTACCTTATTATCAAGTTACTTTCTTATTTCATTTTTAAAATTAATGAGAAAGAAAAGTAGGAAAAAAACAATACCAACTCTGCCACACAAAGCCAGCCCTCGCACACACAACCTCTGCCATGGACCCTTGGGTCCATTTGTTACCGCAGTACTCAGGCATCAGTGCAGTTCTCACAAACATCCCCTGAAGTCAGTGGTTCTGCTGAGAGCTGCATGCAGTCAGCTACTCATCTTTGCACCAAGCGTAACTCAACTCATACTAAGAAAGCACCTGATATTCTCAGGAATATACAAATATTTACCACAGTTTTCTTTGCTCATTACAAAATCAGTTACAAAAGCTTACAGCACAGTATTTACAAATCCCATCCAAATACACGGATGCTCTGTAACAGCATGGGCAATCACTCAAAGCTGCAGTCAGCTTTTTTCATTCTCCCACATCAAGGTCTGCAGCTGCAGGTGTCCCAAGCACAGTGATATATGTAGTCTTTGGGTTGGTGGTTCGGCAGAAAGGGATCAGTTTTTCTTGTGAAGGAACTTCATTTTATTTCCTAAAGAAAATGCACCACCAGTCACTTTTTCACATACTGGAAAAGCCAACTGCAATCAGAGCTTCCTGAATGAATGGGTGTAATTTGTAATGCAATTGTTTAACACCAGTAGGGAGAGCCAACTAACAAAATGCGTAGTAGTCAACATTTTTTTTTCTTCAATTATGTTTGGAAATGAAACGTTTGGAATTGGAAATGTAATGAAAACGTTTCACAAAGACCATAATGAACTCTGATTTTAAGTATGTTTTCATTGTATTCTTTTGATATTTCTCATCCCATACCTAAACCTCTGTTTAATTATCTGATTTCACTTCAAAGATTTTATATATATTTTTTAAATAAAATAACACGGAAGTCACGTGAAAATTAATTCCAGAAATACTTCTATACAGTTTGCTTACCAAGGCCTCGCAGAAACTTGTTCACTCCACTTTGTTCAGTGTCCGGAAGCTCTTCCAAATACTGTTCAACCCTCTGCTCAAAGAGACCTATGGAAGAGGGGAGAAAACTGAACCGGAAAGCGCTCTGCCGAGAGAGATCCCGCCGTCCCCTTCCTCTGATGCTGCTTCCTCTCGCCGCCCCTCGGCTCTGCCCCCTCCGCCGCACAAAGCCATCTGCACCCTTACCTTTCGCCCTGCATTTTCTCAGTTCTCTGTCCTGAATGAAACCAGCGAACATTTGGGATTCCATGAATACTTCCAAGAAGCGTCGGATGCTCTTGGAGGCCACGGATTTACGGAATGCCTCCCTTTGAAAGACACGCTCTCCTTTTTCATTCTGGGTTAGGAACAGGGAATAATGGCCAACTGTCTCCACAAAGAATCGGATAAAAACCTCAGACACTAATCCATTCAGGGTGTTACATTCTGCAAAATAAGGCAGCAATAAGACACCACAATCAGCTGCTGCAGCTCTCAGCACTGTCCCCACCCCAGGCTGGGCACGGTCATCTAGCAGTTTACTGATGCTATGGTGATAAGAGAAAGGAGTTGTGCAGCTCCTTTGCAGCCCTGTCACTGGTGTTTTGTAACCAAGAATCAACAAGGAATACAAATCCTCAGGAGACAGCTCAGGAAATTAAAAACTCTGTGGTTGCAGCATCGAAGTGATACCTTTATGTTTAAATATGAATAACTCTTTACTTGACATACCTCTGTGCAGCTCTGAGAATTAAAATGTTTGTTTGGAGGATAATAAACCTGTACACTGAAAACAGATCTAAAAATATATGTTACAGAATTTAGGCTTTCACTACTACTGAGTAGTTTTACATATGTAAAGCAAAGATGAGTAGAAATTAATTTTAGAAGCTGAATAGAGTCCTCCCTCATACCTGTTAACCACAGGTGGTTACATTCACCCTGGGCTCTTTTTATAATTGCTGGAAAGAAATGTGAATCTTCCAAGGCAGTTCAGCCCCTCCAGCACTGAAACCACTTTCTGAGGTACCTGCTGCTCTCCCTGAAGATACCAAGATCCAACAGGAGACTCACCCCTCAGCATGGATAGTTATTCTGGATTGAATCAGAGCCAAGTACAACCTCTGTTTGATTAAAGGCTTAAAACTACTCATGGAAGTATGTTTCACTTACAAAGATATCAAAACAGATGGCTGATAATGTATTGCTATGTGTTGATGCTATCAGTTCCATTCCTAGTGCATTCAGAGACTGTCTTTGATACTGCAAATTGTATCTGAGTACTGGAGTCCCCTCTTTCTTTCTCCTGGGTTGAAACTAAGAATACTACCTACGTGGCTGCTTAGGAGTTTCCAAATGAGCTTACCATCATCTGAATCACTATCTGAGTCTTGATTTATCAGTTCATTCTTTCTCTCTAGAGCCTGCTCCAGAGCAGCTTGCAGCTTTCTAGGTAATAGTGTGTCTTCATCATCCATCTGATAGAGGAAGAAAACATCCTTAAATCACATTCATCTTGTGCAGCAACTGCAGCAATTGATTTTGCACAGTTTAAAGTTCAGAAGAAAAGCATTTTGCATCAGCTGCTGTCATGCTTACATAAATGAAATAATAAAACCCTGTGTGCAGCAATCATGTATTTCTAAACATTTCTTGTCACTCTTAATGAGATTGAAGCTAGAAAAGATAATCCAAAGAGCGAGGTAAAGATCTGTATGCTTGGAATCAGCTCTTCACATGACAGAGTCCAAATAGTTGTTTCACTGAATACACATCATGTGAAGAGCAGCCACATGCACACACAGCTACTCTAGTTGCTTTTATTTAACTTCAGTTCTCAGTAATTGCTTTTACTTATGTCCTAGCACATCTTATTTTCTGGACTTTTGCCCCATTGCTCTCTTCATTTGTTTAATGCTTGTTCAGCAAAAGTGAACACACATTGGAATATTCGTAGGAATATTCACAGTCATATTTTCCAGGGAACCTTACAAGAAAATTTACCCACCTTGCCTACTGGTAGATACTTCTGAAATTACCAAGTGGCACATTTCTACCTGCCTGTTCACAACCCTTCTCCCACCACACTCAGCCATTCCCCATGCTCCCTCTCTCACTCAGAGACTTCTTTTCTTTGCAATTTTTGTTCTTTTCACCTTGAACAGTGAGTTTTCTTGCTTACCTTATGCTATTTTTGATTGTTTTCTTTGCACTGCCAATACAGTTATTGGTTTCTTTAGCAGCCGCAATCCCTTTCACATACCTGAAGACACTGTTGCTAATTTCAGGTGAAACAGAAAATGAGCTCTTTTTTGCTAGTGTCTTGCCCGTTGCATAATTCCCATCAAACATCTATGATTTAAAGCAAGCAACCTAATATGATAAAACTAAACAGGTTGCTACAAGCTTTACTTTACCTGTCTGATGAATCGATCTGATCCCAGGTTAACCATCAGAGCCTGAAGAAAGAAAACATGATGGTGAAATTTATCTTGAGAGAAAGAAAACACTCATTTAGCTTGCTTTCTAACGGAGAAAGATCATCTGAATGATCCCAAGCCTCATCACAAATCAAATTCCTACTGTGAAAACAGTCATAAAGGAGGTTACAAAGGAGGAAGATGAAGTTCTTTCTGTAGAACTAAAGTCTGATTTATCATAGATGTGTAAATAT